CTATGTATATATATCTTCTTTTTTAAATACTAACACCTGATTTTTGTATTTTTGCATTTTGTATGTAGCTCCACAGAAGTGATAAACATCCGGAGTCAAACTCCTTGTCTGGTCTCACATACTTGACAAATAAAGCTGATTCTGATCCTGATGTGTTTATGTGGAACACTTTAAAAGAAGGAGGCTGCTCCCCCCAAAAGGTACACGATCTTTATCATTATCAGAGCGACCGAAATGACCCATTAGACCTCTTTACCGAGTCAGTCTGAGCTGGGAGAGCCATGCGATGAGCTCCAGGGCTTCGTTTAGTCTTTTGTCGGAAGGCCGGCTGCAGCATTTTGAACCTAAAGCAAACCAGCTGCAGAATAGCTGCCACACAATTCGATGAGGATTACAGTAAATTACAGTAATCCTATTGTGAAGCCTGGATTTACTTCTCGGCACTTTCATCCCAAATAATCGTGGTGTGAGCGTTTCTGTCTGTGGAGATATAAAAATGACTTGCCATTTCCGGATAATCAGCACTGGCCACCCATTTCAGATGGCCGATAGACAAAAAAAGATTAATAAAACTAAAGAATCCAGCATTGATTTCCTGTTTTTAAAGCTCTGCTGTTAACTTAAGCCTCCTCCGACTTGTCTGTAGCTCGCTGGATGGAAAAAATAAACCCAAAATAGCCATTTGCAGCTGGCCCGGATGGGACTTTTCTGTATGTTGTTCCCCTCTTTCCCACTTCCTGCCAGCCTGCTGTGGATAGAAAACCAATGGTGACCATTTAAAGATAAGCTTGTGCTGATTTCCGGCCCTCTGAATACAGCAGCAAGAAACTCATTTTGGAAATAAAACATTGTAGCTTAGGAGAAAACATTATAACTTTATATCAAAAAGAGACCAGCCTCCCCCTTTTCTTTTTTTTTTCTTTAGCTGAACACTGATCCTCTTTGTGTCCTCATAAAAGTCATGCGCTGATGGGCGGAAAAAAGCACGAGGGCAAAACTTTCTTAGAGCGAATGAAGACACGAGTCCGACGTGGCATCTAAACGATGAGTCGGCAGTTTTGGCGTAGGCGGCCGGAAAAGGTCCCCGGCCTCCTGAAGAGTCCTCCCAGCTCTCCGGGGGCCAATTAAGATGGCCTCCGCTTATTTAAGTCCTCGTTTAAACGCAGGGCTTTGTGCTCTGAACTTTTAATTAACAAGTTCAGCTCCAGACTGGGCCGAGTGGCCCTGGGCTCAGGGCGGACATCTTTAATTTTCCACAGCGGCAGAGGTGGGTTCAGATTAAGGATTAAGGATGACTCGGCTCCCCTCGGCCGATGGGACCCGGGCACTTCCTGCTGGGACGCCTTGAAACATCTGACCCGACCATAGTCAGACAATTAGAGAAGATAAAATAGAATCACTGGGGGTTCGAGGACAAATTCTTCTCTGTCTGGGATCCAATGTTGACGCATTTAGGTAAACTTAATGATCTTTTGTTGTATTTGTGATTGAATCCATATGAACTATTTGTTTAGAGTGCAGCTTCAGTGCTGGCAGCCAAGGTCTGTTCTATTTTTCTATATATATGTATATATATATATGTTTTTTTTCATTGTTCTTATTTATTTTTGCATTGCCTTTGATTATCTACTCTCACCAGATTGGTGTCCAACATGTTCCTGGGATGGGGATTAAGATATAAATATTAGTATTGTGTCTCTTGTATTTGAAACGGTGTAATGTATCACTGACCCTCAATAAAAAGAAAATGAAATAAATAAATATTCGACTCGACACCGGAAGTCAATTTTCCTACATATGACGCGTGACGTCGAAGTGTTGCGTGGGCCAGTTCACAGTTCTCCTCACGTGTTCGGATCGTAACCAACAGTGCTTAAAAGGGACACTGCGTAGTATTTTAAGTATTTTATAAGCTAAAATAATTAGCTTATTTTCTAAATGTGTCTTCATTTGGTGTAAAATGACCTCTGCAATGATCTGACTTCTCCCCATAAGGAAGAATTTCCCATCTGTTTCTACACAGGACGGGCGAGTCCACAGAGGTTTCCATAGCGATTTGGAAAAACTGTAATGGCAGAGAGGGACACAAAGCACTAGTCTGCCCGTCTATCTAATCCACAATGAGTTTTCCTTCAGAATCACGTGACTAAAAAATATCTAACAAAGCACGTTTATCCAAAAATAAACAGAATACATCACTACTCATTAGCAGAGTTCAGCTTTTCAGTCTGTGATTCAGACTGTAACACTCGTTTGTTCGTTGTGTGTCAAGTTGTTAGCTAACGCTAGCTACCACATAGTTAGCAATGCTAAGCTACAAACAAAAAAACAAGCTAACATTGCAAAGTAATTATCTTGTTGGAGGAGGAACTACATGCTCACGCTAATGATTCAATGCAGTTTGTAACTTCTTTTAAATCACAAACCTCACCAGAGCAAACATGGAGGAATTCCTGCACCGTGTAGCTTTAATACCTTCCTTTTTCATTATTCCTGCTTTATTTTATCATCATGGGTCCCTAGAAGGTTAGTGCAGGTGTTAGAAGTGGTGAAAAAAGGAAGAAGGTAATGCTTTCCTTAGAATTAAAGCAAGAAATAACAGATCTTGCTACACAATACAACCAGAATACAAATTACTGTGGATTCTGATGGGAATATTTGAACCAAGATAGGAATATGTTAACATAAGAAGTTAAATCGAGTTAAATCCGTATGCAGAAGTTCTACTGTAAATGTGAAACTGGTCTTCCTCCAGAGCTGAATCCAAAAGAGAAACACCAGAGAAGAGCTGGTTACTTTCCCCGAGATAAGAAAAGCATAAAGGCCTTCAGGTGTGGATCCACACATCCCCCTCCCTGGCAAACTCCCAGACGGGGGCCACTGAATCCGCCTCCGGATACGAGCCGGGGTCCTTTTCATTTCCTGTACCTGTTGGAAAGGTAACTAAAGCCCCCCCCCCCCCCGCCCGGCCCCGCCTCTACCTGCCCACATGTGAGTGTGTGAGGGGGGACTTTGTCCTCCAGGAGGGTGAGAAGCGCCCACTTCCTGTGTCAGATTGCCTCTCACATTCCACACTCTTCCTCGACCCGCCCCCCTCCGGCTATTTTTCCTCCCTCTTGATCTCTCTCTCTCTCTCTCTCTCGCTCGGCCTCTCTGTGAGGGGCTTTGTCTGCTATCCGAGGCACAAAACACTGATTCATGCCACCGGCTGAGCGGGATCCTGGAGGCCGTCTAAACCCACTCAGGCAGATGGACGGAGGTCCTGTCCTCCACCCGCCATTCTGCTGTCGGATATTTAGATATATTTAGATATGTTTAGATATATTTAGATATGTTTAGAGAAATGGCCATCACAGGATGTTCACTTTGTCCTGCTGACGACGCCTAAACAGACGGATTTACCAACATACGAAGGGATTCGATCAAATATTGGATTCGAAACCTGAAGGAACTTTCCAACATACGTCAAAGTCATATAAAATTATATAAAATATAAAAATTGGATAAAAATAAATAAGCTAAGTTGGTTTAAAGTTCAGGTAGTGAAAGTCACTACGGTAAGTTACGGTACGTCCTGTATCTCAGTCTCCACCTGCCAATAAAAAACATTTTTTATTGGTGATTTCTTTATACTTTATTTCTTTTTACATCTCTCTTATATAATGCATTTGTTTTATTTTTATGTGTGATAATCTGCCGTTTTTATTAAAAGTTATCGTAGGTTTTTGGAACGAATTATAGGAATTACAGTGTATTCTGATGGGAATATTTGAACCATGTTTTTCTTATTTTTCTTTCCACTTTTCTAAATAAATTGTCAACTGCTTTTTTAATAATCTTTCTTTTAGATTACCGTTAATGTTATTTTCCATGTTATGTATTGTATTGTTTTTATTTTAATGGGACTAAGTTGTATTGTTCTCCCAAAATTGAAAACTTCAAAATAAAGTTTTCCAAATAAATAAATAAATAGACTTTCTGGACAGGCCCCAGGTGTCTGTGGGGGGTAAATATCCCCGGATATGACGTCTGTGACGGGAAACGCCCACAAAAATCTGACACCCTGAGATCCCTCTGGGATTATTAAAGTATTTCTGATTCTGACACCGGGGATCAGTGGGACGGCGCCCGCCGCCCGACAGCCAATGGGCTGCTGAGGAGCGATGATGTCACCGACGGACGCCGCCGCGGTGTGTGAAGACCGTTTAGTCTGGCGATTAACAGACATTTGGCATAAGAGTGTGTGTCACCTGTAGGAGCAACACCTGGATCAAACTGTGTGTGTGTGTGTCTCTGTGTGAGTCTGTGTGTCTCTGTGTGTGGTTGTGTGTCTCTGTGTGTGTTTTTGTGTCTCTGTGTGTG